TCCCCTCCTCCCACCTCAAGCCCCACCCCCATCTCCTACCTACTAACGTCATCCTGCTCCCTTGACCTGTCTGTCCTCATCTGGACTGACCTATCTCCTCCCTACCTCCCCACCTACACTCACCTTTACTGGCTCCATCCCTGCCTCTTTGACCTGTCTGTCTCCTCTATCCATCTTCTATCCGCCTCCCCCTCTCTCCCTATTTATTTCAGAACCCCCTTCCCCTCCCCCATTTCTGAAGAAGGGTCTAGTCCCGAAACGTCAGCCTTCCTGCTCCTCTGATGCTGCTTGGCCTGCTGTGTTCATCCACCTCTACACCTTGTTATCTCAGATTCTCCAGCATCGGCAGTTCCTACTATCTCTGATGAATGTGCATGTTATTTTTGTATGCAAAGGTCAGCCTATGTATTAAGATATGCAGCTTACAGTACACACAGTTGCACCACACTGCAAGCCTATGATGTTCGTCAAAATGAGGATACTGCTGTCAGGACAAAATATGTTCTGCTTGTCATGCAAGTGAATAGCACGGTGTATGCAATTCACTGCCAGCCTGATGCTATGTTTTAAACATAGGAATTAGGAAGAGGAGTAGGCAAGTCAGCCTTTTGAGCTCGCTCCATCATTTAACATGATTATGGCTGATCTTATCCTGGCCTCAACTGCACTTTCTTGCCAGCTCCACATACCCCTTTATCCTGCTTTTCATCAGAAATATGTCTGTTTCTTTCTTGAATGTTTTGATTGATTCTGCCTCTACTGCACTTTGCGGCAGTGAGTTCTACAGATTCGCCACCCTCTGAGAGAAGTAGTTTCTTCTCAGTTTTAAACCTACCTCCTGTCACTTTATATCTATGATCTCTTCTTCGAGACTGTCCCACAAGGGGTAACATCTGTTCAATGTCCACCTTATCAATCCCGTATAGTATTTTATAAATTTCAATCAGATCCCCCCCCCCCCCCCCCCCCCCCCGCCACCAATCATTCTTCTGACCTCCAGCGAGTACAAGCCCAAGCTATTCAACTGATCGTTAATGACAGCCTTTTCGCCCTGGAATCAACCTGGTGAACTTCCTCTGAACTGCCTCCAGTGCCACCATATCCTTCCTCAAGTAAGTAGACTAAAACTGGACCCAGTACGGCAGGTGTGGTCTCACCAACGCCTTGTATAATTATAACAACACTTGTTTACTTTTATTGCAAAAGGACTGGATTATAAATGTCAGGATTCCATTTGCCTTTCTTATGATACGCTGCACCTGCTTTCCTACTTTCTGCAACTCATGCACTGACGCACTTTGAATGTGCTTCCCATTTAAATAATAATTTGTCCTTTTATTTTTTCCAGCTAAAATGGACAACCATGCACTTACCTGCATTAAACAACATTAGTCTGAATCTGGTCCATTCTCCTAGCCTATCAATATCCATCTGTAAACTCTTTATCTCCTCATCACTGCCTACTTTCCCACCTATTTTAGTATCATCTGCGAACTTTTGCTATAGATTGTAAATAGTTGATGTCTGCAAACTGAACCCTGCGGCACCCGACTAGTTACAGTTGGCCATTCAGAGAAGAACCTGTTTATCCTGACCCTTGGTTTTCAATCAGTCAGCCAATCCTCAAATCAAGCCAGTACTCTACCCTTAACCCCTTGGGATCTAACCTTCTGCTCAGTCTTTTATGCGGCACCTTGTTAAATGCCTTCCGGAAGTCTAGTTAGAGCCATACATCACAAAGACTGATGGATCATATCAAACAGCATATCACTTTGTTTGCAACAGGCAAGTTAGTGATTGTACCCCACCAACAATACCTGCTTGCAAAATTCTGTTTCTCCAATTGGTCTATATTTGCTAACTAAACCTGAGCGTACTAAGATTTAGGATCATCAGTCAGGCTTGCAGTTCGCTGCACTTCCACATACTGTAAAGTATACATATTAATACACAGAACACTTCTTTATGGACAGAAAGAACATGAGCACACATTGCACCTGTTTCACTTCAACAGGTGACAGCCATTCTCAGGCCAGTAGCTCTCCCAGATAGAGCCCCTTGACCAAGCAATATGCAGACCACAATTTATCAACATTCCTTAGAAATCTCGAACTATATTGAGGGATTGAAGGATAGCCAGTGCGTCACCTTCTGATAAGGAGAGGAGACAAAAATAAATCAGATTAACCATATCTAAGGTTCATGCATAGATCTGTAGTTCGGGTTGTAGATGCTGTGGTTGGTTTGCTCGCCGAGCTGGTTCGTTAGTTCACAGACGTTTCATTACCCTGCTGGGTAACATCAGTGCAGCCTCTGATGAGGCGCTGTTGTATTTTCCCGCCTGGTATTTAAACTCTGGGTTCCATTGGAATTGTTTACCTCATTTCTGGTTTTTCTTCGCAGTGGCGTATGTATAGGGTCTAATTCTTCATGTTTATTGATGCCCTTCTTGGTGGAGAACCAAGCCTCTAGAAATTCCCGTGCTTGTCTCTGTTTGGCCTGTCCTAAGATCTTGATATTGTCCCAATCGAACTGGTGGTTCTCCTTATCCGTGTGAATGGAGATGAGTGAGTACTGGTCTTGTCTTTTTGTTGCTAGTTGGTGTTCGTGTATTCTTGTGGCCAGCTTCCTGCCTGTCTGTCCAATGTAATGTTTGTTGCAGTCTTTGCGTGGCGTCATGTATATCACGTTGGTTCTGTCCATAGTGGGTAAGGGGTCTTTGGTTTGAGTTAGCAGTTGGTGTAGGGTTGATGTAGGTTTGTGTGCCACTCTGATGCCCAATGGTCATAGGAGTCTTGTGGTCAGCTCGGATATGTTCTTGATGTATGGTAACGTGATGAGTGTGTTAGGGCGTACTGTATCTTCTTGTTGTTTGTGTGATGGGCATCATCAGACCCAGCTGTTCAGGTATCTGTTGTCCTTAAATACTTGGTAGATGATGGGACAAACACCACCCCCCACCCCCGCTCCGATTTTACAGCCTTCCAAAAGTACACAAACTGGAAGTACCCTCAGACCCATAGTCTCCCACCCAGGCATACCAACACACAGGTTAGCCAAGGAGTTACAAAGAAGACTAAAGCACCTCATCAGCAAGTCACCCCACTCAATCAACTCAGCCCAGGAGTTCCTCAATTCCCTCAAAGACATAAGAATAGACGAGGATGAGGACGAGACCATGGTGTCCTTTGACATTACTGCCCCAGTCACATCGATTGACAAACCACTGGCAAGAGAAATACTAGCAACACTTCTAAAAGAACAAAACCCAAGTGACACCATCTCCATAGACAACATGCTGAAACTACTGGACCTATGCCTCACGACCCACTTTACCTTTAATGGCCAAATCTATGAACAAATCAAAAGGACACACATGGGGTCACCTATCTCCGGACTAATAGCAGAAGCGGTGATGCAGTGACTTGAAAGCATTGCCCTTCTGCAGATCCAACCTAAACTATGGATCCAATACGTGAATGACACTTTCATCATCATCAAATGGACTAAACTAGAGGAGAGCCACCAACTTATAAACAACACTCACCAGGGAAGAAGAAAAGAATGAACAGCTCCCATTCCTGGATGTAATGGTAGAACAGAGGGCCAACGAGGAATTTCTGACAAAGGTACACAGAAAGGCCCCACACACGGATCAAGTCCTGAATTTCAATTGCAACCACGCCAACACCCACAAACAGAGTTGCATAAAAACATTATTTAAACTAGCGACAACACGGTGCAGCAACCTGGAACTATGCCAAAACGAAGAAGAATATCTCTACCAAGTATTTAAGGACAACGGATAACAAATTCCAACAGACCCCAGAGTTTAAATACCAGGTGGGAAAACGCAACAGCACTTCTTTGGAGCTGCACTGATGATGTTACCCAGCAGGGTAATGAAACGTCTGCGAACTAACAAACAAGCTTGGCGAGCGAACCAACCACAGATTAACCATATATTAATACCAGTAGCAGATAAATTCTTATTCTTCATTATGGTTCAAACTAATGAGTATTCAAAAATACAAGAAATAATGGAGATGAACCAGTAAAGATTTCTTGAAGTAATATTTGAAAAATGCAAGTCTTTCAAGGATAAAAATAATACAATAGTTAGTGTGTGTATATAGATTTTTAGAATATGTTGGATAAGGTTTATTAAAAAGTTTGTAGCAGAATTTAGATGTATGGTATGGATTAGAAAATTGATTGGCCAGGAAATGAAATTTGATTTAAATGGAAGAGGGTCAGATTGGAAAATAGTGTAAACTGTTGTTTTAAAATGCAGTTAAAAGTGACTTGAATGCAAAAACAAAAATTTCATTACAGATCTGTGGATGATTTAAAGCCCAAACCAGATCAACATACAGCTGATCCAACAGCTTTAATAGCAGCAGCTTTGAAGCGCAAATTTGCACATCGCTACAAAAATGATCATTGTAATGAAAATCGACCTTCAAATTCTGACTTCCAGGCAAGCACAGAACCCCCAAAGGTCAGTGGATTTTAAGGCAGCTTTTCATAATTCATTTCTTTTCAAAGTTTTCAGAAATATGAAGCCACTGATCTGAATTTGAGGTAATGTCTTTAAATTTTTTACTTTTTAGTTTGTGACGTCCTCTCTACTATATAGAAAGAACCATTTTTCGAAATGCTGCAACACCTGCTAGCTTTCAACTTTCTATCACTCTTCTTAGTCCTTTAACTCTAACCTTTATTATGTTATCCCCCTCCATTTCCCCACCTTTGGTTTTAGAGGCTGCAGATGTCTTGGTGCTATTCTGGTGTTCTTTTCCTGAACTATTTTGTTTCTCAATTCTATTTTCATCTTTCAAAAACATGCTCAAGTTCAATTTGGAATCAAACCATTCGTTATCTTTCTAACTCACTCAGCCTTCATTTATTATATCTATTTATTGTTCTATTCTGACTAATTTTAGGTTAAAAATGCTATGCAAATGTACTGATATGAATGGAATGTTTGAATGGGTTTAAGATGAAATTTTATACTTTTTTTCTTTCTAAATAGTTTGGACAACACATGCTGAAACCAACTGGAAAGAGAAACCCATTGTTGGAAACTTCATCTCGGTCTTGATTGGATGCTTAGGGCAGCGAGGGGAAGGGTTACACTTTTCCTCTACTTGACTTTAATTTGCTTTAGACTTAATTGTATGAAGAAATGCTGCCACTGTAGTTTACATGAGCAATATTTATAAAATCAGGTTTCAAAAATGTATATTTTAACATTTTAGTTCACGGCTGTTATATACCAGTTTGTATTTTGCATGTATTCACAATGAAATGACATATTTGTTGCCAAATTCTAATGTTTGAAGTTATCGCGTTGCTGTTTGTAGATTTGTTGTGAATATGGCACCCAAAGAGACCTAAATTGATTTAGTTTTTCTCTAAATTATATTTTAAATAAGCCATAGCAATTTTTTTTTTTCGGCTTTGGTGTTCACATCACCACAGCTTATTATTGTTTACGTGGTGGTACTTTAGGATAAATGTTGTGGATTTATAATAGGTTGTGTTGCACAGTGTTCCTAAAATGTAATTACGTATCGTAGACCCTTTGATTATTTGGTTTTTAAAACTTATCAATTTTTGTTGTGTTCTTTTCATTTTAATTATGAATGCTGATGAAAATGACATACTACAGCACTACAGTCATTGATGCACAAGGTTTGAGTTAGTGTTGTCATCAATTGGTTTGCATCGATTATTGCTTACTGATTTTTTTTTAAGCTTCTGAAAGCCCAATCCTTCCTGCATAAACAGAAGTTTAACAAATGACTAAAGGATGAACCAACTAAAAAAGATGGTAATGTTAATTATTATTCTTTATGACTATTTAACTTATAACAAGTCCTGATTAGTAAAGCTCTCATTTTAAATGCTATTCCTGAAAATCCAGAACATCAGAAAGTTGCAGCATACATGCCCAGAATTTTAATAATTGGGTACAAAGTGTATATGTATGTCATATGTTAATGATTTTTGTACATGAATGGTCGTCCAGAGATCTAGTTTTGTATTATATAAAATGCTTTGAATTAAGAAAATTTAGGAGTTTATAGACGACACTGCTGTTGCATAATGCTTTGACCAAACAACAAGGTGCTTGTTATCCCATCAAATGTATTTATATCAAAACTACACTACAAATATTGAAATTTTCCAGATCCTAATGCGTTGGAATAAGGAAGTCTAAGTTCAGAAGACCCAAAAATACTTGAAAGTTTTAACTCCATTTTATACAAATTGTAAATTTTCAGTGCATATGCTCAATTTTTTTTCTATTTTCACTGGGGGAAACTATGTTTTAGTCTAGTTTTTAAAATGAGAAGTATTTTTTATAACCTGGGTGCAAGCTGTTCAAATTTTGAAAAGGTGCACTATCTTCAGCACACAGTCAAAATATTACCTGAACATATGAGTTTGGAAAAATAGGGAAAAGTTTTTAATAAGCTGGTGTAGAAAGAGGGAAGGTTTGTTTTGAAACACACCTCTTCTTACAATAAAGCTTTCAAGAGAAACATTATAGTTATGCCGTGAGTTCACCCTCTCTACTCCCACCTTGTTCTTTCCCCACCCACACTCCTTTGTCCCATCCTACCCACACCAGGGATTGAAGGAACAAAACCACTGTTGATGTAACTTTTCTTTGTAAGCTATATCTTTCAGCCAAAGTTAGAAAAACATGCTAAACGTTGGTACAGCAATCTGAAAAGTAAGAAAAATCAATTATTCATTAAAATATATCTGTTAGCTTTAATTAATAGGTAATACAAATTGTCATTTGGGCTTAGTATTGAGAACGTGAGTATTGCTGAGAATAGACACCCTTTTTGAAGTTTTTTCTCTGTGACTCAACATACCGATGGAAAGGGAAAACAGCATTGATACTGTGGGAGGAGAGTGATGATTAGTTGCTAAATACTGTCTCACTGGTCAAGGCATAGCCCTAAGAAATATACCAGAGCATATCTATCGCCTGTTTGTTGAGTTGGTGTTCTTTCTGTCTGCAAAGAATAGAGACCTGTGCATTAATATATACAGCTTCAAAAGCTTGCAGGTGCCACATGGGAACCTGACTGACAATCCCCAAATTGGTTATCAGCATCACTCATATCAGGTTAACTTAGCAAATGTTGTCTAATTGCCACATCATATTTAGTGTTGGTCACCCTAACGTAGGGTGCTATGGTCAAACCAAAAAAACATTCCATCTATCAGACAAACAAATAATGTATATAAAATTTCAGTGCTGGTGGGCTGCCTGATAGAGAGGTCATATATACCAAAGACATGTAGTTACATGTCAAACAGCATCTTCGTTCATCCTTCGCACTGCCAAGATACTGACTATACCCAGCCCAACCAGCTTGTAGTTACAAACTCGAAGGGTATCCAACATTGGATATGATTCCATGGTTGGACATTTCCTAGATAATCCTAATTGTACTAAAATAATGCTAGCAACAAATTTAGAATTGTTAGATGGTGTGTGTACTTGCACTCTGGATATTTGTATATAAAAATACAAAGGGACCTAATCAGACGATACACATACTTTGCACAAACTCAATAAAAATGGTGACAACTGTTCTTGAGTTCATAATTCAGGGCAGTGTTTTGGCCAGTCAACTTGTTTAGTTTAAAATTTTAAAGCTTAGCAGCTGTATGTCAGTCAACATCTGTGCATGCTGCATGGCAATATCTCTGTCAGAATCCAATGGCAAAGTAATTTGCGCACCCGTGCAGTATAAATGTTCTCTCTTTCCATTGGTACTTCTGACAAATTGTTCCAATGAATGCAAGATGAAAAACATAAATTACAATATCCTTTTTTCAGCAATACATAGAGGTGGTCAGTAAATCATACACTACCTAACATTTCTGATAAGTGTTTGAAACTTTGTTTAATTGTAACCTCGGAATTGTATTGCTTTCTGTCGTGAGAGCTAATGTACATTGTAGCACCTATTCCAAGATGAATATAAAATGTATAACAGCTGTATTAATATTCCATAATAATTTTGCATTCTTTCTGTACTCACTGATTTCCAATTGTTGCACAATTTTTAAAAATTTGAGTTTTGTTTAAAATATGAATGCAGCACTAAGATCACATGATGATGACTGCTTTTATCATTATTTAATAATTGGTTTCTGTTGGCCTAGTTTCTGCATTGTACCAAAAGCAGGGAGGCAACTCCGGGTAATGTTGTAGGGGCCTAAGTTCGAATCCTACAGTGGCAGATGGTGAAAGTTGAATTCAATAAAACAAAAAGCTGGAACAAACAATTTAATATTGACTGTTGTCGATTGTTGGAAAATCCCATCTGGTTCACTGGTGTGGGTCTGGCGTCATAAGTAGGCCAGACCAGGTAAGGACAATAATGTGGTTGACTCTTACCTGCTCTCTAGGCATTTAGGGATGGGCAATAAATGTTGGCCAGTGATGCCACCCTCCCATAAATGAATAAGAGAAACATACCTACATCTGAATTCAGCACACAAGTTGGTAGTTTAACTTCAGGTCCATTAAATTATGAAAATTTGCTTTATATTGTTAACATCAAATGCTCGTGATTAGCCACCCTTTTAAACATAGTTTTAAATGAATAAACCTGGCCTGTTGTGTACTCTTTTATGCAAAAGAGTTGATTCTCCAGTAATTCTGTGATTAAAAGCAATCAGAACTCTGTGCATGCTTTGAGTGCAGTCATACAGAGCTCTGATCCATCATGTTTAACAATAGGGTTACTGCTGAGCTTTACTGGGGTAGAATGCTGGAAATCAAGCTGATATTCCCAGAGTTGTCACAAAAGTTAAAGCACGTAACAAAGGATGCAGAATCCCCACATTTAACTGTTTGATGGACTGACACTCCGGTTAATCAGAAAACATGGATTGGATTTCAGAACTTAACAAAGATCACTTTGTTACATATACAGACAACAAACTTTGGTGTTATGAATGGATATGGAAAACATGGGGGGAGCAGTTTAATTGCAGCACTCATTAGGATTTGACGGAGGGGTACCTTCAGCTTTCCAAATCCTTCAGTTCTTTCACTTCTCCAGAAAAGGCACAGAGCAATTAGTTCACAAACTGAGTCTGACCTACCGGTTAAAAGCAACAGTTTACAGCTACTGATGGAAGGAAATAAACTGGTTTTCTTCAGGCTTTAGGTATTTGACTAAAGAGACACATCATCTGGCCTTTCACTTCAAAGGTTTTTTACTGTACTGTGCACACTCACCAACTGTTCAGCTGTCCAGGAACCAGAGTTGTCAGGTTAGGACCCTTAACGTCCATGACTAGTTACAATTGCACAGTCCGGCTACTTCATGTCAGCCGAATCTTGCTGTAAAATGCTTTTAATCAACCTGTTCAGAGATGTTGTTACTGTATCCATCTCTGGAGCTGATGGGACTTGAACCCAAGCTTCCTTGTTCAGAGATAGGGACACTACCACTGTATCACATACCCTAGTGCTGTACTGTCTGTTTACACCTTTCAGTTTTTGCTAATCCTTAGTCCTTTATTGCAAATCAGTCCACAATTAAAAATAAAGTAAAATACATTGGTCTTTACAATGCTCAGGCTTTCATTGCTTTAGAAGCTCTTTATACAATGTCACAATGCAATACCAGTGGAACCTTAGGGAACAAATATAACTTTTAATTAAAAGCTTTACAATTAAGCTAGATCATTAAAATCCATGAGCTAAGAAATTACATTTCAAATATCTATATTATTGATAATTGTTTAAAATAATGACAAAGTGTCATTCTTCGTGTAGTCCCTCAGTTATGTGTACTGCTTTCACTAGCTGGTGTGTTGACAAATCTGGTACAGTGGTCTAACAATGTTTTTTTTTCATTAAAAGGTCTGTAAGTGGTATGTTTTCTATATGCTGTCCACACGAACGAGTTGTCAAATAGCAGTGTTGTGCTACGTAACTAAGTTTCTGTTGAATTGCAGAATATCACCATGGAGATTTGATAGCTACTTACAAAGAAATGGTATGAACAATAATTGGTGAATACTGTTTCAATTCTTTAATTCCATACTTTGAGACTTCATAGTGAAACAATTGTCATTTTTTTGAAAAGGGCTTTAAATTGGATTTGTATCTTTATATCCAATGACAAATTATTTCTGCAAATTCAACTGTGTTATCCTTTCATGATGACATTATGGTCATTGGACCAAGACTCCAGAAGACCAAGATAATGTTCTGCAACATGGATTCCAATTCTACCATGGCAGAATTGAATACAATTAATATAATCTGGAATTAAAAATTAGTCTAATTGTGACCATAAAACCAATTTGCACACTAATCTCCTTTAGGGAAGGAAATCTGCCATCCTTACCTAGTCTAGCCTACATGTAACTCTTAACCTACTACAATGTGGTTGATTCTTAGCTACTCTGTGAAATGGCCTAGCAAGTTATTCAACTCAGGGCAATGGGGGATGTACAACAAATTTCAGCCTGGCTAGTAACATCCAAGATCCTGTAAGGGAATTCCTTATGTTTTTATTTTCCCTGAAAATGGAAAAAAAATGCTAGGCCTCTTGTTCAAATATCTACTTGCAAAAGAACCCATATATGTGGGTATGAACAGCATCTAACCGATGAAGATAAAGATCCTTCGACATTTGAGGCATGGTGACCCTCAGGTTAAATCACTATCAGCCATCTCCCTCTAATAAGAGAAGAGTCTTCCGGAACTATAGATTATTTGCTTGCAATTCAGAATAATGCCATGGGGTTTGATGTCCAATCCAGCTACGGGAAACTTCAATTCTGTCTCTTCACCCAGGCACATTGTAAAAAAGTGAAGCACAAGCTGTGGTTCAGTGACCCTCTAATAATTGAGGATGCTGCTTTGTATTAGCATTTTCTAGCTACTTGCTCCTCAATCAAGCAGTCAACGTGGTTCATTAGTTAAGAAAAACAATTTTTCATAGAAATGTTTCAGGATATAACAAGATAATAGAAAGGGGAACAAATGTATTTCAATCTCAAAATAATTCTGTAAGATGCAATTCCTGGCAAGTTAAGAGTTTATAGAATTGGAGGTGGTATATGAGTGTGGGGATTGAGGACTGGTTAACTGACAAGAAGTTCCAGGTAAATGGTTGTTTTCAGGATGGCAAACTGTAACTTGAGCCATAGGAATGAGTGTTAACAACTATGATCTATATTAATGACTTGGATGGAGAGGCCATCTGTATTGTTGCCACATTTGCTGATAGTACAAAGTTAAGTTGTGGGGAAGATGGAAAGGTATATGGATAGATTGAGTGAGCAAAAGATTAGCAGATATTTTATACCATGTGGGAAGTTGTAAGGTTGTCTACTTCAATGGGAAGAAAACCAGCATATATGTGTAGCATAACCAGAGTAATCATGGCAGAGTGAGCTGGGGGTTTTTCTACATAAATCTCAAAAAAAAATTAATGTGCAGGTACATCAAGTAATCAAGGCAGCAAATGGAATGTTGGCCTTTATTGCAAGGATAATGAAGCATAAAAGTAGATCAGTGTTGTTACAATTGTACAGTATGTTAATGAGACTACACCTAGAGAATTGTATGATTTAGTCTCCTTAGGGTCAATCTTGGAGGCAGTTCAGAGAAGGTTCACTAGGATGATCCCTGGTATGGAAGGATTGTCTTTATCAAAGGACAAACTGGTTGGGACTCTATTTACTGGAATACAGAGGATTGAGAGGTGACATCATTGAAACATAGCATTTACCCTGTCAAGAATCCTGAGTAATTTCCCCTCCTAGGAGATTCTCAGACCAGAGCATATATTCCCAGAATAAAAGGATGACAGTTTAAGACTGAGATGAGGAGGAATTTCTTCTCTCAGAAGATTGAGAGCAGTGGGTGAGCTACATCAATTCGTAAATCAGTAGGGGGATCATGGGTTACAGGGAAAGGGCAAGTAAGTGTATGTGAAGAATATCAGATCAGGCTGAAGGGATATATATGTAGTCCTGTATTGCGTAGCATCTTGTTTTCAGTTATCCTTAGGTAATAAGATGCAAAAATCGTAGGCTAAGCTTAATGATTATAAGAGGACAATATAAAATGTCATCCTACCATGGAGGGGAGAAGTGAACTTGGAGAGCTGGTAGTGACAATGTCATAGCTCCTTTAATGCTACATATCATTCAGAAGCATGGTACAAAGTCTCACTTCAAGATTAGTTAATTGGTTCTAAAACATATTGATGTCATTAAGTCAAGAAAGGTGATATGTAAATCCAAAACATTTCTTGATGTATGTAACTGGACACTGCAAGTATAGTACTGGCTTTAGAAACATCTCCAAAGCCAACCGCAGTTGTTTGTTTCAGATCACTCCTCGCAATATTCAAACAATGTGTGCTGGGTGATTATCCTTATGGTCTGTCGCATCACTGGTCCTTCATTCTATTGCACATGATCAGTTAAATCAGCTTAATCAACAGTTTTATTCATGTTTACAATTGTCATTGTCTCAACTGTACAAGTTTCTTTCTTGTATGTAACTAATAATGAACAAAACTTGGGCAGCAATGGCATTACAAACAATTTGTTTTATGTGGGTTAATTATTTTCACACATTGCTTTTTTTTTTAAGCTAAATGCAGTCTTTCTACAGATCTTTGCAGTTGGTTGATGATTTATTATAGTTCCAAAACCAGCACTGTTACAAAAAACATGAATTATGAAGATTGTCACATTTTACTGAGCAAATGTTTACATTGAAGTGCAAACTCTTATTAATCCAAGTGTTAAAATTTCACAGATCAAATAGACAAGTAGTTCAAAACGTATGTCAATTTTTTAATTCAAAATTTTGAACAGCAACAGGCACATATCAAAATATGGCATCCCTGCCAACAACTTGGTAATGTCCCTAAGCTTAACATTGAAGCCTTCATCTCTCAAAGATGGCTGTTGCAACAAATTGTAAACAGAATTCTTTTAAACAGTCCTGAAATACAAGTTCACTAAAAAAAAAGAGAAAAGCACCAAGTTTGTTTCACTGGAAAACGCCAAACCTAAGATACAGTTCTGCTTTACTGTACATAATCAACAACTATTTAAAACATTGTAAAATACAAAATGGAATGTTTGAAGTTTAAAATAACATCTGCAATTTTATCCGACAAAGGGTTCATCTTTTCACATCAAACGAGGCCCACAGGGGAGTAACAATTCACTTGCAAAAAAGAGTAACAATTCACTCGCAAAAAGATCGAGGAACAATGCACTTTTCAAAATAAAAACAGATTTGGTCACTTAGCTTTGTGCATAGTTTTAAGGCATCTGTAGCAATGTTAAGAGTTTTTCTTCAATCTGCCTACACAGATGTCACATTTTGAAGAAAACTAATTGGTGAAAGTGGCACTTTGTTCACATACTTATTCTTGGGTACCACAATCACATGCTCCAGAAACACAGGCAAATATCCTGAGCTGATCCTTATAACAATTTACTGCCACTATCACTAAGTTCAGTTCATGCATGAAAACCACACATTGGCTTCACCCACTAATCTGTTTTTCTATTTCTTCAAATCTCCCCAATAAAAGGCAAAGGCCAGCAGCACTCTTTTACCAGACTTGCTGAAGTAAAGCTGGTTGTGGTCAGAGATGAAGGCTGGATTCACAGTGCACTAAAGGAACACCATGGCAGAAGAGAGGCTTCCATGGGAATGTAAATGGCATCACAAAGATGAAGATCGAGCTGCAGCATTTATTTTGTTCTATCTTCTTACCAAACAGCATTTCTGAATTTTGTGGTTCCTTTTCCACTATGCTTCAAGGCAAGAACCAGAACCAAACAGTATCAAAAATACAGCATTGTAAACAAATCTCTGAGGCAGAAAAGGACTGGCTTCTTTGCATGCAGTCACTCATAAATGGTGGGAAGAGAACAAAAACTCTTCGTTGTACCAATATCAGAAGATTTTCACTAAGTTCATATTTTAGCCATCTAAATAAAAAAAACCACAGAAAATCCCAAGTGCAGAAATTCTAAATATCAGTCTGTATTACAAATATTCAAACTAACCATTGATAAATGGCACTTTCTGGGACACTGTCACCCTCCTTTCTCCACTCCCTTCAGTTTGGCCACCACTGTAGTTTACGTGCTCAATGTCTCACAAAAGCCAACTGAGGTATTTGTGTATTGCTTTATGTTCAGGCCTAGCAAGGGGCGAAGAATATGATGCTTTGAAAAAAGCATGAAATTACATTAGCCATGACACGGGTACACATGCAACCGTGACAGTCAGAGCCTGCAAATGTATCTCAGTGCCCCCCCAACCAAAACCATCATCACATTTGCATTCCACTGAAGAGGCAGAAAATTAACTGTCCACTTCCAGCAGAACAAGTTAGGTGGGTGGGATAAAATAATTCATGGCTTTCCTGAGGTAATAATTCAGTCCATTTCCGCTCAAATAAAATCAGTATCATCTCCACCTTGGGACTGTTCCTGTAGTAATCCCTTCCAGCTAGCATTATTCAGGCTAAGGTGTCCAAGCATAGTCTGTGACAGTGTTGTGTTGGAGAATCGACACCACTCCACAAAAAGAGGTTTTGCTACGTAAGTGATGAAACCTAGTGCACAAAATACAATTAACCATATTAATACATTTTAAACTGACGTTCATAGAATCATAGAATTCCCACAGTGCAGAAACAGGCCATTCAGCTCAACAAGTCCACACCGATCCTCCCACCCAGACCCAGCTCCCTACTCTATCCCTGTAACCCCGAATCTCCTATGGCTAATCCACTTAGCCTGCACCTCCCTAGACACAATGGGCAATTTGGACTGTGGGAGGAAACCAGAGCATCTGGAGGACAGACACGGAGAATGTGCAAACTCCACACAGACAGTCACCCGATGGTGGAATCGAACCTGGGTCCCTGGCAGTGTGAGACAGCAGTGCTAACCACTGAGCCTCCTATTACACAGGTTTTATATAATGGGAATCAGTATCCAACATTGTTTTCTTTAAAGTAAAAATACAAAATCAAAGCCATAAGCAAAGAATTTGTCATTTACTTCAGTAATTTTGAGTCCTATTAATGACATTTTTAAACATGTTTCCAACTCCAGTTCTAACACAAATAGATGGCCAATGTAAAATGAATTAGGTTGTTAGAGTAATATTGATACCAGTGTTAGAACCCTCACTGATTATTCATTAGGTTTATTTTAATCTTTTATCAATTTTTGTTTGGAACTGTGAATGGAGAACTAAGAGGTAAAAATCACTTTTGAACTGTGGGCAGCAGATTGTATTAAAAACAGAAGACAGAACAAGCAAGCTGTTGTTTGTTTGTGGTTATGTCTGGAGGTTAATTGTGGGTTGGATCTTGATTAAAAGGTTCCACATACTCTCTGTAACTGGGGAAGAGCATTGAGTTTAAACAGAGCAGAAGTTGGCTATTAACAAGGTCAGTATCTTGGAACTGGTTCCAGCAAGTATGGAAGAGACCATATGCTCACACATATGGCAGATGTTGAATGGTAACTGGGACCTTGTGCAGGAACGGTCAGAGTTTGAACTAGTCTTCGGACTATTTTCTATGGCCAGGATTTTCCATGATCTTGGCTAAGTATAGGGATGGGAATTTTTAAAAGCAAGAGACTTACCTCCCCACCAACCAACAAGAAAGCGAGGCAAATCAAGTGGTGACCAGTCAAGCTTTTTGGCCAATCAGGTACCATGACAGAATGTTCAATCCCCACCTGATGCTGCCAGCCAATACAAGGCTGACAGTTACTGTATGTAGCAGCAACCAGCAAAGGACCACAAAGCAGCTTATAAAGCCAATTAAAAGGGACATGAAAGGAAATTCTCCAGGGGCATCAAAAATCAACAGGAAGAAATTTTATTCTTACATAAGGGCGAAGCAGCTGGTCAGGAACAATGTTGGCCCACTAAAGACTGCAAGTGGGGATATTGGCAATGACTGGGGAAATGGCAAACATGCTGAATAATTAATTACTTTGCCTCAGTATTTACTGTAGAAATGCTAGATACCTTGTTTGAAGTCACAAGGAAATTAATAGTGGATGGGAGATGGGGACTAAATAAAATTAACTTAAATAAAACTTCAATAATGGGGAAATTAATGGAATAAAAAGTGACAAATATCCAGGACCTGATGTTTCCATCTGAGGTGGTTAAAAGGAAATAGGGAAGCATATTGCAGATGCTCTAACTATAATCTTTTAGGGGGTTGGTTAGTTCAGTTGGCTGGACAACAAGTTTACGATGTAGAATTATGTCAGCAATGTGGGTTCAAATTCCTGGACCGGCTGAGGTTTCTATGAAGATCTCTCCTTTTCAACCTCTCCATTCTCATCTCTCTCTAATGAGCAAGTCATCCTACAGTCCTCTGGGATGTGGTGATTTTACTTTTATAATCTTTCAGAGTTCCCTAGATATGGGAGTTATCCCTCTAGATAGGAAAATTACATATTGCTCTGCTTTTTAAGAAACGTTGAAAAGGAAACAGAAGAATTACAGACCTGTGTAGTGAGGAAATTTTTGGATGCTATAATCAAAAATGGGGTAAGTGAACATCTTAAAAACGTTCAATTAATCACAGACAGCCAGCCTGGATACCTGATAAACCTCACTGAAATTTCTGAAGAGGAGACTTAGATAGTGGACAGGGAAATGTCTACCGATGTTGTTTATATGGACTTCCAGAAGGCATTTAGTAAAGTTCCACAAAAGAGAGACTGTTTATTAAGGCAGAAGCTGTCAGAATTGGGGACAAATTATTGACATGGCTGGGAACTGGTCAAGTAGCAGGAAAAAAAAATCAGAATAATGGGTAGGTACCCAAATTGGCAAGTGGTGACCAGTGGTATCCCATAAGGATCAGTATTTGGGCCTCAGTTATTCATTTTATTTATTAATGACTTGGATAATGGCACAGAAAAGTCATATATCCAAATTTACGGATGACACAGAATTAGGCAACATTGTAGACAGGGACTATGATAGCATAAAATTACAAAGGGATATTGATAAATAGGTGAACAGGCCAAGCTGTGGCAGGTGGAGTTCAATGTAAGCAAGTGTTACTTTATCCGTTTAAGAATGAAGATAGATCAGGGTTCTTTCTCAATGGCATGAAGTTAAATACAGGATGTGTTTAAAGAGACCTGGGGATTCGGTGCATTGATCCTTAAAATGTCACAAATAGGTACAAAAAAAAATCAAAAAAGCTAATGGAATGCTGGCCTTTATATCTAGAGGACTGGATTATAAGGACACAGAATTTATGCTGCAGTTAGACTAATCCTAGTTATTCCCCTCTTGGGAGCACTGAGAGTAGATTTGTGCACCACCCCTTCAGAAGGATATACTGACCTCGGAGGGAGATCAATGTAGTTTACAAGAACAATACTTGGACTTCAAGGGTTAAGTTTGAGAGAGGTTATACAAATTAGGTCTGTTTTCCCTAGAATTTAGAAGGTTAAAGGGTGATCTGATTGAAGGGACTGAGTCTGAGAATTAGGGGTAGTCTGTTCAAGAGAGATGCTCTGAAACACTTCTACACACAAAGGGTGGTAGATGTTTGGAACTCTCTTCCACAAACAGTGGATGCTGGATTAGTTGTTAGTTTTAAATTTGAGATAATTTTTTGTTAAGGGATGTGGGCCAAAGGTAGGCATACAGAATTAGGCCACAGATCAGCCATGATTTCACTGAATGGTGGAACAGGCTTGAGGGACTGAATGGCCTACTCCTGTTCCTATGACACAGAGAAGGTCGAGGATGTCTCGCCTGCTGGGAATGGACAGGTAAGGCCCTTAAGTGGTTGTTAATTGTATCTTTGAGGGCCTTAAGTGGTGGTAGGTCAGGAAGGCTGACCACAGACCTACTTGCACAGAAACTATTTCTGTGTTGGCAGGAAAGGAGCAAATACACAGAAATACCACCACCTGCAAGTTCCCTATCAAGCCTGTATGCCTCTTTGTCTTTTTGATCTGTACATCTTTTGTTTGCTGTGATCTGCCTGTACCACTCATAAACAAAGCTTTTCAATGTATTTCAGTACGTGTGATAATAAAATTAAAAAAAAGCCACTCACCATCCTGTACTGGAAATATATCACTATTTCTACAATATCACTGGGTCGAATTGTGGAACTCCCTCCTTTATGGCATTGTGGGTCTACCTACACCAAAAAGCAGGTCAGGGCAATGGCTCACCTCCACCTTTGCAAGGGCAACTTGGGACAGGCAATAAATGCTGGCCAACCAGTGATGCCCATATCCTGCAAGTGAATAAATACCCCTGGTGCCAACTTGCCCTTCCCCACAATCAATGACAGGGAAGATCCTACTCACTGTAACTGACGTAAAATGACTAAGTGAAAATAGAGAATTATGAACAATTCATTCCCATCATGGTTTTACTAATCACTGATTTTTTAAATAACTTTCTACTTTAGTCTTTCTCCTTTAAATACAAGTTCAAAATTCAAAACACCACTTGTTTACTTTGAAACCATTGGGCATAACATTTATTCTAGTGATAAAACAAGATTGGCTCAATTTTTTAATTGATTTTCCAAAATTCAGGATACCCTAACTGCAAGTTGACCTCTTGGCCACTAAATTAGTAACATGACTGCACCCAGTAAGGACAGACGTTAGACCTTACAAAACTCAACTACCTTGTATTATAAATGGAAACTCAAAATCACTCACCTATTTGAATATTGGCTACAGTTTCTGTATGACGATCGCACAACTGACTTATATCTAGTTTATACTTCCTCTCAATATCCCCTAAACAAGAAAAAGAACAGCTTCAAAACGTATCCCTTGATGATCTGATGTATTGAAAATTTCAAGTATTATGTGATTTGCCGATGCATTACTCTATCACTGTGACCATTCATGTTTTGCTACTCAATTTTTTACACAAGTATTTAGCACTTTTCAAATTACACAATAACCAATAAAACTTCTGCGCAATAGGCATGTTTTTGATTGCTTTATCTTAAAATATTGAAGTTCATTTCAGATAAATACATTGATTTATTTTCTGTTAAAAATCTTTTCAGAAAAATCACATACATATAATTGTTCGAGACACTGTACGTTGGTACAGTGTCTCGAACAATTATATGTATGTGATTTTTCTGAAAAGATTTTTAACAGAAAATAAGTCAATGTATTTATCTTGATCTTTAAATTGCTGACCTTTTATGGGCAGACTTAGCAACACTGTACGTTGGTACAGTGTTGCTAAGTCTGCTCCGCTAAGTCTGCCCATAAAAGGTCAGCAATTTAAAGATCAAAGTTACAGACAAAAAAAAAACTACAAATGCTGGAATCTACTGTAGACAAACAGGAGGCTGGAAGAACACAACAGGCCAGGCAGCATCTAAAGGAAAGGAGCAGTCAGATCAAGCTAATTTAGCAGTTTGCTAGAAACAGAAGTTGCTGGAAAAGCTCAGCAGGTCTGTCAGCATCTGTGAAGAAAAAAAAGTCACTAACGGTTTGGAAGAAGGTGACCCTTCCTCAGGATTTCCCCTTCTGCTAGAGTTCAGTTGCCTCAGCAGAATCCTAGACTCATGCCTAGGAGCGACGTGATCTTACCAGGTTGCTCCTGGTGAGGTTTTCAGGGAAGAACTGGCATTAACTTAAAACTCGTTCTTGGAAATGAGCCTGCATAACCAGACTCAAGATCATTGCTAGGTACAGTGCTGCTTGGCAGAAACCCCCACGCAATATCCTTTTCAGTGAGTCCTCATATCATCTCAAGACTTCCTTTTATACTGCTCTGGCTCACCTCTGTGGGATTCAAATTGAACAATATGCTCAATTGGGTCTGTGAGGCAGGATTTGTAGGTATTAAAATATTATGACACACGTCTGCAGCAGGTGGCATTTGAATGTGCACTTCCTAGCTCAGAGGTAGGGACATTACCACAGCATCACAAGAGCCCCAGAAGTAGGATTTTCTATTTGAAATTCCCTTTATGAAACTCAGCAATCAATTAGCTTTTCTGATCACCTGCTCCTCATTTGTTATGGTTAATAATTTACCAAAAATCTTGATAATTTCAAGTGCATTGTTTTACATTTATTCACTACACGTAATTATTTACTTGGTTTGCCAAAATTATCAATGCTCCTCATCTTCCCAATTCTGTTCCATTTAATCATTCCTACTGTTTTGAGCTTATCCACGAACTGAGATGAGATGAAACTACTAATCTTATTTTCAATATTCATACAGTCATAGCATAACAAATGTTGAACTGTACTAGTGCCAAAACTAAGCCCTGTGGTTAAGAACGTTGTAGAATTTTGAGTGGGGATTGTGTAAAGGATAATTGATTTTACTTTCAGTATTGCCTGTTATAAATTGCTTTAAAAAAAGACAGTTTATTCCACGTACCTTGATGGAAGAATTCCTGGGTTACCTTTTCACTCCATTGCTTACTCAGTTCCCAAGGCCGGCATGGGTTACTGATATCTGCACATTTCAGTGCTATCTGTAACAAGAACTGAAGTTATTAGCTGGTTATGGTACTTGTTTTTACTGTATTATCTTCCATTAGCTCACTGTTTTAAGCAACATTTTTGTTACAAAATTCTTATCACAAAATTCTTATCATTTTATAGTTAACAGTTATAAGATTGTATATTATCTTGGGCAAGAAATGACCATTCGTTGCACCAACATAACTTTTTCAAACACTCGTTAACAAGGTACCTTACCTATGCAACTAAGTAAAATATCAAAATACTTTATTCAACCCATCAGTCAGATCCACTACTGTGGTCCCAGAGACAGTACCGGAGATGACAAGTGCTTAAGAATGTTTGATTATTTTATTCCATTACAGTGATCTTCAGAAGGATAAATTGGAGACAAGGCTGAGACACAGACAGAAATGAAGATGGGAACAGGAAAAGAGTGAAATAAACACATACACGTTTCATTGGATGTTATCAAAAAACATGCAATTGTATTATTGAACTTCCTAGAATTTTTTCAGTGTGGGGAGTAGAATCCATAACAAATAAAAGCAAAATAAGTAGATACTGAAACTTTTACATAAAAACAGGAAATGCTGGAGAAACTCAAGTGGTCTGGCAACATTTGTGGGAAGCTGCAAAACTAAACCAATTGTTTAAAACAAATATAAAAATGTTACGTATGTACTATTCTTTCTTTTTCAGTTCATTTATTAGGCAAGGGTATCACTGGCAAGGTCAGCATTTATTGCCTAAACCACGCTCGAGAATAAGCTGGTATAACCATGTCGTTGAACTGCTGCAGTGTATGTATGTAGGCAAGAGTTCCAGGATTGAGACAAAGTGATGATGAAACAACAGGCGATATAGTTCCAAGACATGTGATATGTAACTTGGAGGGAAACTTGCAGAAAGTGCTATTTCCACGTATCTCATAGGTGCAGGAGATAACAACTTTAGAAAATGGTGTTGAAGGAGGCTTCAAGTTGCTACAGTGCATTTTGCAGACTGATTACACTCCATGGCTGGTGAAATGACTGTGGACGGAGCGAGTGTTAAGTTGGTTAATGGGGTGCCAATCCAGTGACTGCTTTGCTCTGTTGACATTGAACTTCAAGTGTTGCTGAAGTTTCACTCATCTAAGCAGGTGGGGGTTATTTAACTGACTATGATTAGTAAATTGCAGATGGTCATCAAGTTTTGGGGAGTCAGTTGGTGAGTTACTTGTCACAGAATATTCAGCTTTTGAGCTGCTGTTATTGCCACCATTTTCATATAGCTGGTTCAGTAAGATTCTGCTCAACAGTAACGCACAGAATGATGATAGCAGGAATACAGCCTTGATAACATTGCTGGATGCCAAAAGGAGGAAGTTAGATTTTCTCTTGGGTGATGATCAATACCTTCCACTTACATGATGAGAAACAAGGGAAGTGATAGGTGATGGCCTAGTGGTATTATCACAACATGATTAATCAAGATATCCCAGTAATGTTCCGAGGACCTGGGTTCCAAACTCGCCAATTTGAATTCAATAATAATCTGGAAATGAGTGTATAATGATGACCATGAAACCATTAGCAGTGCCAGTGATGCCCATAGTCAGCATGGTTCCATGAAGGGGAAACCTATAATTAGTAAAAGGTCACAGGAATCAAAGCTTGGACTCTGATTATTTACAATATTGGTTGATGACCTGGATGAGGGAAGTAAATACACTAGCCAAGTTTGTGGATGACACAAAAATAGATAGGAAAGCACGTGAGGAAGATGATACAAGGAACGTAGAGGGATACAGACAGTGACTGGGCAAACGTGGCAGATGGAATATAATGTGAGGCCACGTACTTTGGCAGGAAGAGGAGTTGAATATTATTTAAGTAGAGAAAGACTACAAAAGGGGGTCCTCATACACGAGTCAGAAGAAGTTAGCATCTAGGTTCAACAGGTAATAGGGAATACAAATGAAATAAACAAATAACCATGGATGCTAGAAATCTGAAACAAAAACAGAAATTACTGAAGAAACTCAGCAGGTCTGGCAGTATTTGTGAAGAGAAAACAGAGTTGAGGTTGAGTCCAGTAACAGTTTTTCAGACCTGACAAATGGAACGTTGGCCTTTACTTCAAGGGAATCGACTATAAAAATCGAAAAATCTTCTTAAAACAATACAAGATATAGCCAGAACACATCCAGAATATGATTCTTTGGTCACCTTATCTGAGGAAAGGCACAGTGCCTTTGGAGGCAGTTCAGAAAAGTTTCTGAGTATGGATGGATTTTCTTATGAGTGATTGAGTAGATTTGGCTTGTAATCACTGGAGTTTAGAAAAATGAGGGTTGACTTTACTGAAACATAAGGTTCTTAGAGGGTTTGACAAGGTAGAACGTAAAGAGGTTGTTTTGCTTTGTTGGGAGAGTCTAGGACCACAAGAAGCATAATCTCAGAATAAGGAGTTACCCAGAATTAAGACAGTGAGAAGCAGTAATTTCTTTCTGGGGATAGTCAATTTGGGGAATGCTTAACTGCAGAGGGTTGTTGAGGCTGGATCAGTTAAAGGACACTCAAGACAGAGAGATGATTTTAATCAGTGAGGGAATCAAGGGATTTGAGGAAAAAGCAGGAAAGTGGAGTTGAGGATTATCAGATCAACCATAATGTCATTGAATGGTACAGTAACTGACTAGGCTTAATGGCCTACTTCTGCTCGTGTATTATAGTCTCACAGTCACTTATCAGAACAAGCGTGAATTTTATCCTGGTCTGCACATGGAATGTTTAAGTACGTACAGTATTTAGTTCCATTTAAACTCCTCACAATCATCAGTTAACATCTCCTCGCCTGACCTTATGATGGTGGGACGGTGATTACTGGAACAGATGGTCAGACCAAGGATCTTGTTATTCATCAACAATAATGATTAATGATTCATTATTAGTCCCTTAGCAATGCCTTGCGGCTGAGATAACAGACCTCCAACAACCTCAACCATCTTCCTTTGTACTAGGCATGCCTTCAGCCAGTGGAGAGTTTCTCTGATTCACATGGATTTAAAATGTTACTCAGGCTCCTTGATGGCCAGTCAAAAGCTGCATTGATGTCAAGGGCAGTAACTCTCACCTGAGCTCAAGATTACAGGTCCTGAGTCTGTGCTTCGATCATGACCGTAATAAAGGTCTGGAACCTAGTGGTCCTGGCAGAGCCCAAACTTGGGTGAGTAAAGTGGTGCATTATAACACAGTACAATACCTTTGACTATTTTATGACGACTGAAGAGTAGAGTAGATCTCTTCTGCTTTGTGTGGACATAACATATCAAGCAATTTGTGTGGAGTTTGCACATTCTCCCAGTGTCTGCATGGGTTTCCTCCCACAGTCCAAAGATGTGCAAGCTAGGTGGATTGGCCATGCTAAATTACTCATGGTGTTCAGGGATTTGTAGATTAGGTGGGTTATAAGGGGATGGGTTTGGGTGGGTGCTGTGAGGGTCGGTGTGGACTCGTTGGGCCGAAGGGCCTGTTTCCACACTGCAGGTTTCTATGATCTATGATTTTCCACTTTGTCAGGTCACTGTAATGAGAGAAGGCTAGCTTTAGAACACACAGTCTTTAGCGTCTGTGAAGCTGTCAGAGCTCATGGTCAGTGCCTTCAGCTGAATCAAAACTAGCTGAAGATTAGCATTTGTCACACTGGAGACCTCAGTGGAAGGCCAAAATTAATCACTTTTTCAGCATTGCGAGATGAAGACGGTTACAAATGCTTTTGCCTTGTTTTAAATGAGATAGAATCCACCATCAAGAATGGGAACGGTCTCCTCTTGTTAGCAATTCAGTTATCTACCGCTTTTCATGACAGATGTAACAGGATATACTTCATTGGTTTACACGTGCATCTATAGCATGCTGCTTCCATTGGTTAGCTTGCCTCGAATTGTACATCTGGCTTAATGGTAGAGTGAGAGATAATTGTAGTCAGATTGTCCTACAGTACCTCAGATGCCCAGTTCTGAATGGCTAGATCTGTTTTGAATCTATTCTATTTGGCACAGTAATTGTGATAGAGTCCTCAGCACGAAGGTGGAACCTCAGTTTCACAGAAACCATGTGGTGGTCACTCCAATCAATGTCATGGACAGATGCATCTGCAACAGGTAGACTTAGTGACGCCGCATAGGGTTTTCGGTCATGGTGATTTCTTTAAGATAAGCCCAGTCTAGCACTAAGTACTTCAGAATTTGGCTATAGATAACACAATATGGAGCTGGAGAAGCACAGCAGGCCAGGCAGCATCAGAGGTGCAGGAAAGTTGACGTTTCTGGTTGGGACCCTTCATTTTTCTGAAGAAGGGTCCCGAACCGAAACGTCAACTTTCCTGCTTCTCTAATGCTGCTTGGCCTGATGTACTTCTCCAGCGCCACACTGTGTTAGCGCAGACTCCAGCATCTGTAGTTCTTGCTATCTCAGAATCTGGCTAGCCTGGCTTGCAGTGGTGCTATTGAGTACTTGGGTATGTGAACTGAATCCTGCCATACAAAATACATTGTGTCTTGCTACACTTATTGCTTTGTCGAGCTATTTGTGTACATGGAGAAGCACTGATACATCAGCTGAGGAGGGCAGTATGTTGCATCCAGCACAATGTTTCCTTGGCCATCTTTGACCTGACTCCATGTGATTTCACATGGCCACTCTCCTCTGACTGTACGCCACATAGCTGTCACTTGGGCGGCACGGTGGCTCAGTGGTTAGCATTGCTGCCTCAGTGCCAGGGACCAGAGTTCGATTCCACCCTCGGGCGATTGTCTGTGTGGAGTTTGCACATCCTTCCCGTGTCTGCGTGGGTTTCCTCCAGGTGCTCCGGTTTCCTCCCACAGTCCAAAGATGTGCAGAGTAATGAATTGGCCATGCTAAATTGCCCATAGTGTCCAGGGATGTTTAGGTTAGGTGGGTTAGACATGGGAAATGCAGGAGTAGGGCAATGGGTCTAGGTGGGATGCTCTTTGGAGGGGCAGTGTGGACTTGTTGGGCTGAATGGCCTGTTCCCACACTGTAGGGATTCTTTGATTCTGCTGGGGTAGAGGTGGAGGATGCTGACACACTGAAAAGGACGATTCAATGAACATGATTTGATTGACTAGTCTGTGTAACAGCTTTTCCAAAGAAGTCCCCATATGTCAGCTAGAATGATGGTGCAGGGATTATTGGGCAGGATGTGAATTTGTCATTTACAGTGTAATGGTTAAATCCAATTTTTTTTTTTTTTAAAAAACATCGTGGTGTGATACAATGGAGTGGCTTGCTAAACTATTCCAGAATTAAGTAAAGAATCAATCATATGACTGAATTTGGAGTCATGAATAGGATAGACCAACTAGACAGCAGGTTGCTTTCTCTTAAGGAAGTTAGTGAAGTGCAGGCATATTTATAATGACAAGCCATTAGTTTCATGGTCACTATTACTGATGAGATTTTTATTCCAGATTTGTTAGACAATACTTAAATCCTCCAGCTCCCACAGCAGAAGTTTAACTCACATCCCCGGTTATTTGTCCAGCCCTTGATTATTGATTCAATAACAACCGTTATGCTAACATTATTCATTTTTCTAAAGTATTCTTACAAATGTATTTATTTCTACTGAAAATTTTCTGAAGGGTCTAGGCCCGAAACGTCAGCTTCCTACTCCTCTGATGCTACTTGGCCTGCTGTGTTCATCCAGCTCTACACCTTGTTATATCAGATTCTCCAGCATCTGCAGTTCCTACTATCTCTGAAACGAATTTAATAGATATATTTGTTGAGATAAGGTAGAGAGTCCATCAACGTAACTGTTAGAGGCAGGATACATACAGTCTATCCTTGGTGGAGCTACTGTCAGGGTGATGCAACAACTGAAAATATTTAACTACAGATAGTCAGTTTGAAATAGGGTTACCTGAAGCATGAAATGCCGATGACCTGCATCATCTAAATGCAGATCGCTCATGTCCAAGTGAGTTCGAAGCTGTGACAGAAACTCATTCTGACGAGTTATATCTGTGGCTAGGATCAGGGAACCCAACTGGCTTTCCATTTGATAGCTTTAAATAAAGAAAAAGATAACATTTTACAAATGTGAAACATACTCATTGCTATGATAAAATTCCTGGGGTCTTTTATATAAAGATGAAGTTCACAAGGTGCAAAGGTTTTAATCTTTTCACTTCAGAGTTTGATAGCAGATGTAGATTCTAATCATTTCTACAAAAACGTTCTCAAATGTCACTAGGTGTGACTCCAGAAAGGTCAGGAATCAATGCTGTCAAAATCTTAATTTGTCTACAGCTGAGCCACACGATGCAGATAGATTTGCCTGCTTACGCCAGTCATAAAAATTTGCCACCATTTCTAAAATACCTTACTCAGTATCCTCCAGAAGAGGATTTTCACACCTCTTTAATACCAAAATACTTTTTTAATGGTAAGAGTTACATAAATGACAAATGCAAAGCAGGATATGTAAGAGAATGGAATTTGTCCTTGGATCTAGGCCATCTGTTGCAATACTGGGGTCAAATGTTCCAAGCAACTGTACTGTTTACATTTAGACCAGATTGAGAAACTAGAGCCCTCTCTGCTCAGTAAGTCTGGATGAGGTTCTGAAGCTGAAAGTGGAATGTCTCAATAATAGAGAAAGCGAGGGGCAGAATTTTACCAATACCACTAAGGCAGTTTTGAACAGCTGGACCAGAAGAAAGGGTGCCAGGTTGGAAAGCAACTGAGCTCCCACTTCTGAGTCACCTTGCCAGAAGTAAACAGCTGACTTGAACCCTGAAGTGCCCACTTGTGGGCAGATTAGGATGCCACAGGGATTTTCCCAGCAAAGAAGGTACCCCCACTGAAGACAAAGCTCGAAAGATACCTGGCAATGGTTTGCCAGCAGCTGGCCCGGGTGTTCATATGACTATTTATACCTTGTTTAAAAATTAGTTCAGGGATATGAGCATCACTGGCTAGGCCAGCATTAACTGGCCTGGGGAAGGTAGTGTTGAACTGCTGCAGTCCTTGGGGTGTAGGTGCTGCGGGAAGGGAGTTCCAGGATTTTGACGGTGCAACAGTGAAGAGTTGATGGCGATATAGTCCTTAGTCAGGATGGTGAGTGGCTTGAAGAAGAACTTGATGGTAAAAAGTTACATATACTTCTCGGTGGTAGAGGTTGTGGTTTGGAAGGTGCTTTAGTAAGGAGGCTTGTTGCAGTGCATCTTGTAGTAGGTACACTACTGTCACTGTGCATTGGTGGAGGTGAAAGGAGCAAATGTTAAAGGTAGTAGATGGAATGCCAATGAAATGGGCTGCTTTGTCCTGGATGGTGTTAAGCTTCTTCAGTGTTGCAGGAGCTGCACCCATCCAGCAAGTAGGGAGTATTACATCACATTACGACTTGTACCTTGACAGGCTTTAGGGAGTCAGGTGGTGAATTTCTCATCACACAATTTCTAGCCTCCGACCTGCTCTTGAAGCTGCAGTATTTATATGGCTGGTCCAGTTCAGTTTCTGGTAAATAATAACCCCTGCAATATAAAAGGTAGGGTGGGGAATTCAGTGATGATACTGCCATTGAATGTCAAACGGGTGATTATTCAACTACCACCTCCTATTCAGAGTCACCAGGGGCAGCTACCACAGCTTTATCTGCAATATTTGATGGGATTTTCCCCTCCACAATGGTGGCCCGGGAGCTGTGACAATTTATTTGAAGAAATGAAACATCTTCAGAGGGCAGCTGAACGTGAAAGGTAGCCTGAAATGGCAGTGCCCACCTCCAATGGGCTGCTATCCTTCTGATTTCAGAAAGCAGGCTATCCCCCTCAATTGGGCTGTGGATCTGAAGGAAACCAATTAGAAATTAGTCTCCTATACGACTGTGTTGGTAGGCATGCTGCCAGCAAGACAGGGGTCAGGAATCAGAAATAATCCAGACCAGGATTTACAGTGGGTCAGAGTAGAGTCAGAGACTCAGTTTAGAATCAGCTGCCAAGATTTCACATGGACTGATGCTGCCTCAAAGTGTCTGGGGAGGACCATGGAGCTAGTGGCTAGGCCACTAGATTTATGACTGAAGCAACAATAATGTTGGCCTCTCCAATAATTAAATGGGAGGAAATGTCCACTCATTTGGTACTGAATGTCAGAATCAAGCCTTTGGCATTTGTTGTAGCTGTGAACAAGGAAGGAACAAGCAAGAAAACACTTAATAGAGAAGCCAAGGATTCTCCTCGCCTTTAAGAACGATCCTAGAACTGTAATGAAAGCAGTTTTGGGGATGCTAAAAATCTGAAACGAAAACAGAAATTGCTGGAGAAACTCAGCAGGTCTAGATTATCTGTAGAAAGTAAAAAACAGTTAATGTTTCAGTTCTGAAGAGTAGTCATGCTGGACTCAAAACTCATAACTTTCTCTCTCCACAGATGCAGCCAGACTCGCTGAGATTTTCCAGCACGTTTTTGTTTTTCTCCTGAATAGCCTCCCATTTTGACTGAGGAAATCAGATTTAAGTGTTTTGTATGGTCCAGCCAGACCTCGTGATGAACGTTAAATCACTTGTCTGCCATAAATGGTCGACTGGAAAAAAGTGATCAGGGAGTTGAGGTGACCCAGGATACCAAAAACAATGGCCACACACACACACACACAGTGCTTCAATGTAGCAAAACGTCCCAAGATGCTTTATAAGAGCATCAAAGTGAATTAACATGCTCATATTGTTCTCATTCTCAATTTTAATACCAGTGTTAGTACCGGGAGAAAGAAAAGATTTAAAGTTTTATCTCAAGGGCAGAAGTGAGATAAGCTGGTTACTACAGAGAAGTGATAGTAGAAAAACTGCAAAAGAAAACTATGGAATAACAGTGTATTTGACTAACTGAATCAAATAGTTTCAGGTAACGTTGTAGATGTGCAGTTGAACTTTAATATGAATTTGTAGATTGAAATAATGCTTTAGCAAATGCTAAAGGTTTATTGAAGTAATTATGGCCCTTGATATTACAAATAAAGTGGCAATATGGACAGATAGATTACTAAAGGACAAACAGAAATTAAAAGAAGCATTTCTAAGATTGTGACATATAGCTAATCAAATGCCCAGAGAGACGTGGATCATAAGGAAGAAAAAAAAATAAAGCTTTACAGCTCTCCTTTTCAATTTATGAAAAGTTGGAAAACTTGGCAAATGTCTTGAATTAAACTCCCTTTCTAACAGCACTGTGCGTGTACCTTCATGTAGACTGCAGTTGTTCAAGAAGTTGGCTCACTACCACTTTCTCCAGTGCAATTGGGAATGAGCAATAAATGCTAGTCTAGCCAGTGAAGCCCACCAATGAAATGAACTTTTAAAAAGCAAGATTGGAGACTAAAATTAAAGTTGTCTTTTTAAAACAAAGTTATGCAGACTTAAAAACTATTGGACCTATATAAACTAATTACCTAGAAAAATAAGAATTTATTACAAGTTATTTTTGAACATGCATTGAATAAATGGAGGAATTAATTCAGAAGCAATCCAAATTTATAAAGAGAATATTAAGCAAAACATCAGATACACACATTTCCTCAACTGCAAGATGTGAAAATAATTTAGATTCCTGGAGCACACAGACTGCAGATCTCCAATGATGGTTTTCTAACACCGAGGTATTCTGTAAGTGAAAGAAAGATAATTAGTGATTGTAGAAAAACAGCACTTCAAATTCATCTCATTTCCAAAAGACCAAATATTAGAATGGGTAGTTGGTCTGATAATTAAAAATCCTGTTTTCCAATCTAATTTCTCTCTCAATTCCTTGTCACTTAATATCTCCAAAAACATTATAAACTTATTCTTCTGAATAACCAGTTACGGTTAACTGGCAAAATGTCCATGCTTTGAGATTCTATATCATCTAAAATGGACAACTTTAGGATCAATGTTATTAATAAAAACTTTTGAAAAAAATCATAAATTGGATTATTTAATCTGAAACACATTGAGCAGATTCATTTCTGCACTCTTATTCAATCATACCTAACACAATGGTATTATAAACTGCGAATGTGATAATGTAAAATTATAGCAATCAAAATAAGTGTTATTTATAAATTCATGGCCCACATCTTCCAGTCTCTAGGTAACCAGAAACCAAATTTATAACCTCCTCCAGATGTTCCAACTGCATAGGAACTGCCCAGATGGACTGAACTTGCATTGGATAATTCCTCAGGACTCTGCAAATACAAAAGTAAAAAATCTCCAAATTGGAATAAATTCCTCCTCTTCTCAGTCTTAAATTGGCACCCTTTTATTCCGAGACAATGCCCTTGTCTCAGACTCACCCATGAGGGGAAACATCCTCTCATCATTTACCCCATCAAGCCCCTTAAGAATCAATATGTTTCAGTGAATCTCTTGTCATTTTTCTAAACTCTAGCAAGTAGAGTCCAAACCTGTTTGGCTTTTGTTAATAGGAAAATCCTTCCATAGCAGGGATCATCCAAGTGACACTTCTCTGAAATGCCTCCAATGAAATGGTATCTTTCCTTAAGTAAGAGACCAAAACTGCTTACAGTACTCCAAATGTGGTCTCACCAACACCATGTACAATTTCAGGAAGATTTTCCAACTAGGGTTTTCTTATGAGATAACATTGAGTAGACTGGGCTTGTACTCACTGAAGTCCAAAAGAATGACAGAGCTTACTAAAACATAAAAGGTTCTTAGGGGACTTCATAAGGTAGATGTGGAAAGACTGCTTTTCCTTGTGACAGAGGGCATAATCTCAGAATAAGGGGTCAGCCATTTAATACAGAGATGAGGAGGAATTTCTTCTCCCAGCAGGTAGTAAACCTGTGGAATTCTTTACCACAGACAACTGTCAAAAATTCTTAACAAACTAGGCTCAAGTGTGAGAGATGGACTGTCGAACAGCAAGGAAATCAGGGGAATGGGAAAAAAGGCAGGGAAGTGGAGTTGAAGATTATCAGATCTCATCATGTTCTCATTGAATGGCGAAGCAAATTTGATGGATCAAATGGCCTATTACTCCCACGTCCAATGTTCTTATGTGATCTCCTGTGATTGGACTAACTGTTCCTGGTTTACACTTTTGAACAAGAGAACCCATAAGAAAATCATACTTATTGTCTTCTAATAAACACAAGGGGACTGAACTGATACAATAAAACCAAAATGAACCCCTGGCAGGTGAATCATTGTGGTGAATAATATTCCCGCAGTTATAACTGTGACATTTCAAAAGTACTTCACTAGTTGTGAAGCACTTGGAAAAACATCCTTAAGTTGTGAATCTTTTAACCTAATGATGCAGTTTCAAACATCCAGTATTGTATGTGTAAATATCGCACATATGATTTCAAATTATAACAGCTACTTTATAAATAAGGATGAGGTCTTAAAAACGTATGAGCAAAATGCCAATTATGCATAACCAACTGTAAAACATTACTGCATTGTAGATATATTTTAAATATATTCAGGTGTGTGATTCACAAGACAAACTGGAGTGAATGACTAATCATATTCTAAATGTTCACTTTCAAAGAAGGTGGTGTTTCAAGGATGTTAAAGGAAATGGTTTTAAACATTAACATTAAACATTGGATGCCTTAAGCACCAAAATAAAATGTTACACCAGATCGAATGCTAAAACTAACACCAGAGGGTGCTCTATACATTTAAAAAAAAACAATATTGCAGATGCTGGGAATTGGAAATAAAAATGCAAGGAATACTCAGCAAGTTAGGGAGCATCTGTAGAGAGAAAAACAAAGTTAATATTTCAAGAGGATAACCTTCCATCTCCAACATTTTGCAGTTCTGCTGAGGGAGATTTTGGGCCAGTAATAAAGTGGAATGGGTGGGATAAGCTTGTACTGAGCTTCACAGGAACACTTTAGCAGAGCAAAGACTGAAAAGGTCAGAGTGGGTGGAGAATTCAAATGACAGGTGACTCTAAGCTTGGGGACACAGACCAGAATTACATTCGTCCGATTCGTGTTTGGTACCTCTAATGTAGACTACATTGTTTTTATTAATGTTTGCAGCTCACAAAGAAATCACTATTTCCCAGTAAGGAATGTTTGGGGCTTTGGACAGTGAAAGAAGAGGAGATAACAAGACAGGAGTTGCAACTCGGTGTTGGAGAAAAAAAAAAGTAAAAGGGTATTGGCTGAGGAGTGGATGAGGTTATCAGATAGAGAACGGCCCTTTCATGGGGAATGAAAGGACAGACACGTTTAGTGATAGCACTGTGTAGTCAACCACAGGGAGGAAACTCTCTGGTTGAGGAAAAAGGAAGACATACCAGCAGTGCTAGATTTTCTTTTAAAGTTTGTTCATGGAATGTGGGCATCACTGGCAAATGCCCTGCAGAAATAGTGGTGGTAAGTTGCTTTCCTGAACAGCTGTAGTCCTTGTGGTGTAGGGTCATCCATATTACTTGGGAGGTAGTTCCAGGATTTAGACCCAACGGTGAAAGAACAGTGACAGTGACATAGTTCTAAACAGGATGGTGTGTGGCTGTTAAAAGTAGCTCTATATGCTGCACATAGCCACTTTAGATGTTCTGACAAAATTAAGGAAGGCATTATTTTTTGCTCCAATGTATAAGCAACAAATAAAAACTTACCTTGGCCAATAGTCTTTATCCAAAATACTATGTTACACGTACACAACACTGAATAAGTTTTTTATAATTCTTAAAAGGGAATTTAGGAAATAAAATTGCACTGTACATTGCCACGATTATGTGGTGTATCTAATATTCAGTCTGAATATCATCAGTTGGATACACTTTGCAGATTTTTTTAAAAATGTCAGTTTCAGCCAAGAACTTTTCACTGGAACAAAGGGACATTGACAGCCATTTTAAAGTGCGTCAATCTGTATCACTATTTAAACATTCCATTTCACGGAATCACAGAACCTACGAAGACCAGAGACAATAAACTCCTTGCGGGGCTGGGGTTGGGGGGAGGTTATTCGCTTTCTTTCAAATCATCAAAAAACAGAGATACAAACTATGCAATAGTACATTAAAACCCTGATCATGGAATGAGCACAGAAATGTTTCCAGAATAAAAAGGGACATTATAGCCATATTGTTAAAACATCATCTCAAATGAGAAGTGAACGCCCAAGAATCTAATAATCAGACCAGAATATCAGACACAAATTGTGAACTTTTATTTTTCATGACTGAGTATTTGGCCAAATTTATCTACTTTTACTTTTAAAACTCTAATTTATTGCAAGGATTGACCGCACAAATTTAGTTTCCAACCTTGACTTCTTACTTTTTTAAAAGATCTCAAGAAAACCAGCGAGGCTAATTCATGCCAACCCAGTGAATATCTTCACTGTGCAAGTCCATTTTTTCAACAACTTTAGAACATATCTGTCACAATCAAATGAGGATGATAAGAAATCCAATCCATCCTTTGCCATCTGGTCACAACATATATTTTGTGTATTTTGACCTCTTAGTCTTGCATCAAAAGTCACATGCAATTCTGAAACCACTGATCCGAAGCAATACGAAAAGCTGCATAACTCAAACTCAACTGTCAATAGAAAGGAGGGTTATAGACAAGGATATCCATGTGGAATGATTGTTTTGGAGAATTTAAGATTAATCCACTCGTAGAAAACTATTTTTTCTTCAGTTCATGACTTAAAAGTAATTTGTGGTCACACTCAAATTTCATCTTCATCCAGAAACTGAAAATAAAGAATGAAATGAATGGAAAAAAGAACACCAATGGACTTGCAGAACTAAAAGATAAGAAGGGGTGACAAGTGAATTGGATAGTTCTTTCAAACAGATACAGCTGGCCAAACAATCTGCTTCAGTGTGACAAGATTCTATAAACTTTTATGATACTCCCTTACTAATGGACTTACATATTATTTCCTACCTTACCTCAGCTGTACCTTCCACCCCACCTTCCAACATGAACTGCTCACACCCGAGTTCAAACCTCCCTCCTGCTGTCAGCAAGGAGCTAAGTAACCAAATCACAGAAATTAACAGGAATTCAGGAAAAGTTTCTAAAATTCATTCCTCCCTGGATTAGAGATAAATAATGATCATTAGCCTGCAATACAATGCAAATCTCACATGTGACTTCTCTGTAGTTGAATAGCCAGGGCAAAACTATTGGTTAAACTCATAAGAATGGCAATGTAATAGAGGAACAGTGGATCGTCATTTAGAGATGATTAAAAAACAGATTTAATTTCACATTACACTGTTTGAAGGTTTTGATTCTAACAGCATGAGCTGGATTTAAGCCCAATGAAAGGCATGATTAATATATTGTGTAAACTAATCCTCCACGATTGTTAAATTGATAATCTTGCATTAACCTATTTTAATAGGTTGACAAATCTGCCTGTTGCAAAGCAGCAAATGTATTTTGCAGAATGGAACAGATAAAGCTGTTCTATTGTTTATTTATTGATATATATTATTCTCCTATTTTTTATGCTTCTACATTCTGGCACTTCACTACCAGAGGCACTGATCCCAACCTATGCCCCGCAGTGAGCATAAAGGAGATGACTGAATGTTCATGCAAGCTCACCTCATTGAAGATTCTATAGTACTCCCAAGATAGCACAGGTATCCCAGGAGGATTGGGC